CAGTTATGATCTAGTCAGATCAAAAAACTTGTCAGGAGTTTATTTTGTATTTTTGATTTAATATATTATGGAAATATGTTAAGTTAATGTGTTGTCATTATTAGCTAGGATGTCATTATTAGCTAGGATTTAGTTGAGTTTTAGTCTAGTTTATGTTTCACCTATGTCTCCTTGTTTATGAGTCTTTTTCTATTCATCATGTTTTATCTCCTTGTCTATGTAGGTTCCCCTTGTGTCCCTCTCTCGCTCCCTCTCTGTCTCTTGTGTCAAGTTTGCGTGTCCCAGTTCATGTTTCTCCATGTTTCCCATTTTATTTTGAAAGGTCTGGTGTTTCCACGTTTGGTGTGTTTAGTTTTACTTTTCCTTGTGGCGTCATAATCATTTGCGTTAGCTGTGTCTCTCCGGTGTTTCCACTTCCCTCACTACTCTTCGGTGTATTTAAGTCCTCTGTTCAGTGTTGGGTCGTCTGTTGGTCTTGCGTCACGTTTCTCCAGGTTGTGCTCATGCTCATGTTTTTTTTTATTCACGTCATAGTTTGTACCATCCAGATTCATGTTCATATTTCTTGTCACAGTTTTCATAGTTATTCTTAGTTTATCCCAGTGTAGATTTTAGTTTTTTGTTTATAATAATTGCCACAATTAAGGCTCATTTTTTTGTTACACTTTGTTTTTCTTCTTTCTAATTTCTAATAGTTCTAACAGTGCTCCGGGCCAATGGTGTTGTAGAATAAACTTGACAGGGGGCACCTGGGGTGGGTGTGGTTATATTTCCCTCCACCCCTGGACATTCCCCTGCCAGTGTACAGTATTTTATTTAAACATATTCCATTAAGATCAAATTAGTGGTGGTGGGAACATATTCCTACCATGCCTACCATAAACTATGCCCATGTGTTGTTGGCTGTTTTGTAAACACAGTTTGGCTAAGCCCAAACTTCCTATTTCAAATCAAAGGTGTTACTAAAACTAAGACTAACTGTGAAAAAAAAAACAGTTTAGTCAGTGGAATAAAAGGAAAAACCTTAGAATGAATCAAAGAGTAAGGCTTTAAAATATGCTGTCATAACATCAAAATTAAGAAAAATGTAAAAAAAAAAAATGTGAAGAAAGCAGTAATGTACAAAAGAAAGGGTGCACAGAAGAAACATTCATAGATGACTCAGCAAGGAAACCGCAGTTATACACAAAGAAAACAAAACCATCAAAGTACCACAGGAAATAACTAAAGGAGGCAGGAATACCAACAATAAACCAGATATAAGAGACAAGGAAACACAAACAGCCCGAGGTGTAAAAACAGAAGAGGGCACAAACAGAAACACTGAGTACAGTTAGATGATGCAAACCAAAACTCATCCACAAAACTGTGTTAATCACTAGAAACCAGAAGAAAAAAAACACCAAGAAACTAGTGTCATAAAACTGAAGCTCATTGTGAAATTAAACAGGAAACAAAGTCTCACAAATCAAAGAAAACAGGAAATGAAAACTAAAACACTGGAACATTAACAAAACACCAAACATAAACCACGACTCAGATAGATAAACTTAGCATCTAAGATATGAAGTCAAGATCCTATCAGGAAATCCCAGAGGCATGACAATGACGACTGAGACCGGGAAAGGGTCGCAGTTATACTGCAATACCTCAGAACTTCCAAACCCTTTTATAAAAATCATTAAAAAGAAGCTAAACATTAAAAACTAAACACTATGAAGTTTAAAGTGTGAAGAGGTGAACAAGAAGTCCTTGACTATAATTTTGAAGAAGTGGCTGGGAAGCACCAGGTTTTGGAAAATTATATTACACAATGGAGTCTCGGTGATGTAATATACATTACACCACAGAATAAAGCCTCATCTCTTCTGCTAAAGGTGTAACACTGAAGTAGGAACACTGTCTGTATTGCATAGATTAGATCTGCGCCTGCCCATACCTGTATTCACACAGAACCTGCAAAAACAAGGTGGAGTTTAAAAACCTCACCTTTCTCTTTGCATCAGATCTTTTCAATCAGCAAACCACACCCTTTAAAATTCTTTTGTCATAAAAGGTGGTTTTCTCCCCCAGCCACCAGTGAGAACTAAGTCCATATTAACCATGGAAATTATTCATTATTGTTTGAGTAATTCCTGTATTTATTACGTCAAAGACAGTGCGCATGCCTGCATTGGGCAGTTATTTCCCCGTAGCAAATAAATCAGTTGAGCAGTTTTAAATGTGCACGCCACATCAGATCAACCAACACGATCGCTCCCAGTGCAGTTTTTTTTAATCCCGACTGAATCAAGTTTAACCCTCTTGGGTACAACATTGATTATAAAGGAGAATGAAAACCCACTAAAATGTATTAAATTGCAGAAAAAATGTGCAACCTTTCAATGGAAATATGAACACCCACCTACATCTGCTGGGATAATGAGCTAGAGAGAGATACAGCCTCAAGGCTACACCTTAAGTTGGTTTTTGTTTTTTTTTGAGATGGCAGATGTTTTTCTAACATTTTGGAAATGAAAGTGATCAGGTTCTTCTTTCTTTTTATGAAGGCATTTTAGAAGAAGTTTTAACCAGAGCCATCGGAAAACACCACCATTGTTATTATTATTTTATATTTTTTTATGGAAACATGGATTACTCTTATATAACACATGATTTTGTTAACCTACAGTATAAAAGAAAATAAAGATTTCAAATAAGGTAACATAGACTTAATTCTTGACTTGACTTACATGTGTTTGAACCCTTAAAGAACCCTTTCAAACCAGATAAATTATAGTTTAAACTTGAGTTTGTCTGCTTGGAGGAAAAGTGAAGGTAAATTTGAAAAACACACATAATTACCAATGTAGCGGTAAGATGTTCTTAAATGCAGGATCATCAAATTATGGAACCACAAATCATTGATAGAGTCTAACTTTTCCTTTTTTTTTCATTAACTGGACAAATACAGAGAGAGCTGCACCGTACTGGAAAATCAAAAATAAGGTAAAACTTTGCATGGGTGCATTATAAAAATCTTGTGATCTAATAGGGTCTGGTGAGAGCTTAAATGGAATGAATTATATGCAAAAGGAATATTTATGTTTTCACATTATGAGAGTAAATCTTGGGAGTTTCCATTTTCTATTTGGGTACTTCAATTTCCTCCCACAAAAACATCCTTACTGGGTTAAATGGTAATTCTAAATCGGTTGGTTTTGTGTCTCTCCATGTTAGTCTTGGGATGTAATGGTGACCTGTCCTGTCCTGGGTTTTAACCTTTCTCCACCCCCACCCCCCCCATTCCAGAGCTTTCAAGATAATGTTTGAATCAATTTATTATGAGCTCTAGTTATTATGTTGTTTGATACTTGGACACTGAGTGGCTGTTCTGCAAAGTTAAACAGCTGTGAGGCCACTGTTGGTGTAACTACTGTAACAGGTGCCCTCTGCACATCTGAGGCAAACAGCACCATTTCACCAGTGACAAATAAGGATGTGAAACTTCTATAATTTTCTGTGTCACAAACAACTTCTTTCCTACAAAGAACTGAGCCGAAAATGGAAAGATTCCTGGTATTAGAGACACTTTTTATTTTTATCAAATGACAAAACCCCCCCAGCGTTAATTTTTTTTATGTTATTAAAAAGGAACATGTACTCTATAATTCTTTCACAAATGATTGACACTTTTCAGTATTTGCTCTGTTTGGTCACTGCAAACAGGAATTTGCTTCGGTCTCCACAATTCTTTTTACAATACTTGACATTTATATTTATGGATAGAAACATTTTTTTAATACAACTTTATTTGAAAATGTTTTATTTCAGTAAACACTGAGAAAGTGGAGCGATATCGTACAACATTTTGCTCCACACTTCCTGTCTATATTGGAAAAGAAAATTTCAGCATAAAAAACAGTTAATTTGAATGTGTTTTGTCCCATAGCACCACTGTTTTCCACTGTGGTAATTCCTGCTGTAGTGAATCCAGATAAAGACAGGAAACCAAAGCATTTTGCCTGTTACGTGTGTAATATACATGTAATAACAGAAAATTCAATGAATTTGGGAATGATGAGGAATGATGTTGAAAACACTTCAGGCTGTTTTGTCGTCAGCTTTGTAACCGGATCTCTCATCTAATTAGAAAATTAATATGAAAAGAAATAAAACCCTTTGATGGGGTTAGCTGTTTTTAAGAAAGTCTTGGATGTGGCTTAGATGAAGTCTATCAGAACATACTTCTTTACACTTAAATGAAGGATTTTTTTTTCTTTTTTTAAAGATGAAGAAAAAAAATATCTTGACACTCCTGATCTGAAGTTAATGAGGAAAAAATAAAAAAATAAAAATGTGTGGGCGGGGGAAAAACAGTGAAGACGGGACAGTGACCGTAAGTCATACGCTATTTTTCTGTGATGACGCATTACTACCCACTATAAGTGAGAACAAACCACAACCACTTTACAGTTTCACTAACATAAACAGTTTTTATTTAGGACAGGGCTTTAGTTCTGCTCCAAATGTACTTACTGCTTTTCATGATATTATATTATATTATATTATATTATATTATATTATAT